AGAACAAAGATTATTATAATATTGGAATAAAGAGTAATGCTACAAACTAATGATTAATAATATTCATATATAATCAAATCTATAATCTATTTCTAGCATAACTATTATAACTATTCTTATTCTATATATTTTCTTTATTATACTGGAACAGCTTGTGCCCTTGGTCTCTTGCCTCAGCACCTGTGTGGTTTGCCACCCACATATAAGATGTTCTTTGTAAGCTTCATGGTAACCAGGAAGAAAAAACATATAGTAGCTATACTAAAAATGAGCAACACAGGGCTGGGCGCAGTGGCTCACGCCTGTAATCCCAGCACTTTGGGAGGCCAAGGAGGGTGGATCACTAGGTTAGGAGATCGAGACCAGCCTGACCAACATGACAAAACCCTGACTCTACTAAAAATACAAAAATTAGCTGGGCGTGATGGCATGCGCCTGTAGTCCCAGCTACTTGAGAGGCTGAGGCAGGAGAATTGCTTGAACCTGGGAGGCAGAGGTTGCAGTGAGCCAAGATCACACCACTGCACTCCAGCCTGGCAACACAGCGAGACTCCATATCAAAAAAATAAAACAACGCAGGCTGGGCGCAGTGACTCACACCTGTAATCCCAACAGTGTGGGAGGCTGAGGCAGCAGGAATGCCTGAGGCAAGGAGTTCAAGACCAGCCTGGGCAACATCGTAAGACCCCATCTATATAAAAAAAAAAAAAATTTAATGACCATGGTGGTGTGCACCTGTAGTTTCAGCTACTTGGAAGGCTAAAGTGGGAGGATCGCTTGAACCCAGGAGTTCAAGGTTTCAGTGAGCTATGATCATGTCACTGCACTCCAGCCCGAATGACAGAGTGAGACCCTGTCTCAAAAACAAAAAGTGATAAAATTTGTTTAAAAAACACATTAAAACATACTACCAAAGAAAATCACCTAACCACAAAGGAAGAGGGCAAGAAAAAAAAAAAGGAAGAGAAGAGTTACAAAACAACCAAATAACAAATAACAAAAATAGCAGCAGTCTTTACTGATGAATAACAACAATGAATGTAAATGAACTAATTCTCCAACTAAAAGACATAGAGTGAGGCCAGGCACAGTGGCTCATGCATGTAATCCCAGCACTTTGGGAGGCTGAGGCGGGCAGACCACCTGAGGTCAGGAGTTAGAGACCAGCCTGACCAATATGGTGAAACCCCATCTCTACTAAAAATACAAAAATTAGACGGGCTTGGTGGAGGGCACCTGTAGTCCCAGCTACCTGGGAGGCTAAGACAGGAGAACTGCATGAACCCGGGAGGCAGAGGTTGCAGTGAGCCAATATCGTGCCACTGCACTCCAGCCTGGGTGACAGAGTAAGACTCCATCTCAAAAAAAAAAAAAAAAAAGACATAGAGTGGCTGAATGTGTAAAAGAAAACAGCTTTAATGACCCAACTGTGTACTCCCTACAAGAAATTCATTTCACCTATAAAGACACATGCAGACTGAAAATGAAGGGATGGAAAAAGATATTGCACACAAATGGAAACCAAAAAAGAACAGGAATAGTTACTTTTATATCAGATAAAATAGACTTTAAGTCAAAAACTGTAAAAACAGACAAAAGTCACTATACAACTATAAAGTGGTCAATTCAGCAAGAGGATATAACAATTACATACGCACTCAACACTGGAGCAACCAAATATAAAACACAAACATCAACAGATCTAAAGGGAAAGATACACTGCAATATCTTTAATAGTAAGGGACATTTCAACATCTAACTTTCACTAATGAAGAGATCACCATCCAGATAGAAAATCGACAAAGAAATATCAAAGTTAAACTACAATCCAAACCAAATATACTTAACTGGCACACAGAATACTTCATCCAGCTGCCATAGAACACACACTGTTCTCATCAGCACAAGGAACATTCTCCAGAAGAGACCACATATTGAGTCACAAAACAAGTCTCACTAAATTCAAAACAGTTGAAATGGTATGAAGTATCTTTTCTGACCACAATAGAATAAATAACACTAGAAAGAAATTCGACATTATCCTGAACAATGAAAGGGTCAATAAAGAAATTAAGAAGGAAATTTTAAAATTTCTTGAAACAAATGAAAATGTAAACACAACATATCAAAATCTATGAAATATGGAAAAAGCAGTAGCAAGAGGGATATCTATAGCAATAAACACCTAATCAATCATTTAAAGCCAAGTGCAGTGGTTCATGCCTATAATCCCAGTACTTTGGGAGGCCGAGGTAGGTGGATCACATGAGATTGGGAGTTCAAGACCAGCCTGACCAACATAGAGAAATCCGATGTCCACTGAAAATACAAAATTAGCCGGGCGTGGTGGCACATGGCTGTAATCCCAGGTACTCGGGAAGGTTGAGGCAGGAGAACCGCTGGAACCCAGGAGGCTGAGGTTGCAGTGAGCTGAGATCACCCCACTGCACTCCAGCCTGGGAAACAAGAGTGAAACTCCGTATCAAAAAAATAATAATAATTTTAAAAGTAGGAAGATTTCAAATAACCTAACAATACAGCTCAAGGAACTAGAAAAGCAAAAACAAAGCAAATACAATAGTAGAAGGAAGAAGTAATAAAGATCAGCAGAAATAAATGAAATTGACACAATAAAAAGAGAAAATATCAACAAAATGAAAAGCTGGATTTTTCAAAAGATAAACAAAATCAACAAATCTTTAGGTAGACTAACTAAGATAAAACCAGAAGACCCAAATAAAATCAGAAACAAAAATGGGGACATAACTGATACCACAGAAATGCAAAGGGTCATGACAGAATATCATGAACATCTATATACCAACAAATTGAAAAATCTAGAAGAAATAGATAAATTCTTGTACATAAACAACCTACCAAGATTGAGACATGAAGAAATATCAAACCTGGCCAGGCAAGGTGGCTCAACTGTAATCTCAGCACTTTGGGAGGCCGAGGTGGGCGGATCACTTGAGGTCAAGAGTTCAAGACCAGACTGACCAACATGGTGAAACTCCACCTCTATTTAAAAATACAACATTAGCTGGGTGTGGTGGCACATGCCTGTAATCCCAGCTACGTAAGAGGCTGAGGCAAGAGAATCATTTGAACCTGGGAGGCAGAGGTTGAAGTGAGCTGACATGGCGCCACTCGAGCCTGGGTGACAGAGGGAGACCCTGTTTCAAAAAAAAAAAAAAATATATATATATATATATGTGTGTGCGTGTGTATATATAAAAATATACAACCTGAACAGACCAATAATGAGTAACAAGATCAAAGAAGTAATAAAAATGTCTCCCATCAGAGAAAAGTCCCAGGGCCTAAAGGTTTCAATGCTAGATTCTACCAAACATTTAAATAAGAACAAATATCAGTCCTCTCAAACTACTGTTGCTTTTATCGGCCAGGCGAGGTGGCTCAAGCCCCCAGCACTTTGGGAGGTCAAGGTGGGAGGATCACTTGAGGCCAGGGGTTCAGCGCCAGCCTGGGCAATATGGCAAGACCCTGTCTCTACTACAAAAAAAGTTTTTAATTTATATTTTTAAAAAGAGAAAAAAAGAAAATGGCTTTTCGGATGCTGGCAAGAACACACAAAAAGGGGAACACACGTAGACTGTTGGTGGGACTGTAAATTAGTACAGCCACTATGAAAAACAGTATGGAGGTTCCTCAAAAAACTAAAAACAGAACTACCACATGATCCAGTAATCCCACTGTTGGGTATATATACCCAGAAGAAAGAATATCAGTATGTCAAAGGGAGATTTGTACTCCCATGTTTACTGCAGCACTATCCAAAACAGCCAAGACATGAAATCAACCTAAGTGTTCATAAACAGACTGAAAAGATAAAGAAAATGTGGGCCAGGTATGGTGGCTCATTCCTGTAATCCCAACACTTTTGGAGGCCAAGGGAGAAAGATCACTTGAGACCAGGAGTTCAGGACTTGCACGGGCAATACAATGAGACCCCATCTCTAAATAGAGAATAGGATAGGATAGGATAGAATAGAATAGAATAGAATAGAATAGAATAGAATAGAATAGAATAGAATAGAATAGAACAGAACAGAACAGTGGTACATATACCCAATGAAATATTACTCAGCTATAAAAAGAATGAAATCCTGTCATCTGCAGCAACATGAATGGAACTGGAGGTCATTATGTTAAGTGAAATAAGACAAAGAAAGAAAGACAAATACCACATGTTCTCACTCATATGAGGAGATATAAAGCGTGGATCTCATGGAGATAGAAAGTTGATTGGTGGTTACCAGAGGCTGGAAACAGTAGGAGAAAGGTGGGGATGAGAGAGATGGTAAATGCGTACAAGACTACAGTTAGAAACAGGGAAAAAGATCTAATGTTTGATAGTACAGTTAGGCAACTATAGTTAACAACTTGTATAGTTCAGAACAGCTGGGGAAAGGAATTGGAATGTTCCCAATGTAAAGAAGGGGTGATGTTAATACTGATGGTTGTCCCAATTGCCTGTTTGATCATTACACGTTGTATGCATGGATGAAAACATCACATGTATCCCAAAATATGTACACCTCTTGTGTATCAATAAAAAGAAAAAATAAGAGATGACCCTGGAGATATGCACCAAAGGAGTTTTAATGTAAAACCCTTCCCATTCAGGGTAGACTGATATAGTCCATTACCAACACAGAACTTTTAGGCTGTAGTTAGACCTAATAGTGATATAATGTATTCTCCTCTTGAAGGAAAAATAGTGTACAGAACACTGTATCATAAACATCCTCATATAAATTCACATATACACACAAGAGACACAAACACACACACACACGTAATTCTTACCATTTGTTTCTCTCCACCTTACCAATATATACTCTGGAGTTTTACTTACCATCTAAAAGCTAGCTTTAATGAGTATTTGGGTGTATCACATTCTTTGCTTTCTCTAAGACTCTTTTCTCTATATTAGCTTTACTTATCATCATCAAAAATTGATAGATATCACCAACCTATTGCCACTTGGATACTGTACTACAATGTCATGATCTTCATCGATGCCACAAACAGTTCCAGTTGTAGTTAAAGTCTCAAACATTCCATCAGTCCATCCTCCATGACCATGCTGCAAAGACTGTACAATTTCTAGGTCGAGATCTATATTTACCAGGTCACCAATCTGCAATCCACCAGGATTCCTGTTGCCATTCTGCTCACCTGTAGAATGGCAGGTGAATTTCAGAGGCAATTGAATAAAGGAGGGAAAAAAACTCAAAACAACATGCAGCTGTGTTATCTTTAAATAACATGTAGATATTTTAGTTTCAGGTACCATCTAGTTTTAAAAGGTCTTGAGAACTCACTACAAGTATAAAATTTTAGAACTAGAAAGCTTTTTTTAAAAAAAGAAAAAAGCCAAACAGACTCAAAAACTGAAATAATATGATGAGTTATAACAAAGACTGAGTAAGAGTAGAGTCTATAAAAGACAATTCAACCTTACATCAGAACACAAAGTTCCAGGTGTTGAAAATACTCACTTTTATGCCTGGATAACTTACTACCACTGTATCAGAACCACAATAACTAACTAGAGAATACGAATGAAAGCCTGGAATTATTTTTTCCCTTAAGTGCTTAGTACTATTTCATTTTAACAAATGGTTCCTGTGATTCTTGCCCTAAAGAGCATTTTAAAATATGTCAAAGCCCATTCCCCAGATTATTTTCAAAAGCTAGTTCTGAGATGAATTCAAGATCATGAAACATTAGGCTGAGATCCAAAATATGCATGTTGATTTTGCATTTTTCTTATGAAAACAAGACACAAAACAAGAAAGCTTGTTTTGTGAAAGCAAGATAAATAGATGAGCTCATTAAAACACATAAATTTTTTTATGCCTTCTCCTTTTAAAAAAAAAAAATTAAGGTATACTGCAAAAAAACAGCACTTTTTGCTACAAAGGCAAGTCAAATGATTTGAAGGAGAAACACAGTTCACATGAGAAAGAAACCAGAGAATAAAGATCAGGAGAGTGTGGTAAAAGTTCATCCAGGCAACAATAAATCTATAACATGAAGGTAGTTTTGATTTTCTTGTTCCCTTTTTTTTCATTTTAATGATACATGAAATTATACATATTATCTTAACCTTGGAGCTGTTCTTAGGAAGACAATTTGACAAAAATTCTAAGGAATTTTTAAGCACAAAAGTGTCAAATCCTATTCTCAATAGTCTATGACATACAACTGTTTTAATCTAATGCAAAATTTTTCAACAATGTAATTTACAGTTAAAACATAAAAGTTTCAAATATATTATGACATAAATGGCCAATCAATTCTCAAGACATGACAACTGAGTCCAAATAAACCATAATAAAAGGAAAAATACTTTAAGACCAAAGTAAAGCCAAAAAAAAATTTCTCTAAGTAACTTTAGTGGTAATTAACTTTTCTGAAGTCCAATTTAAACATTTTACCGATTCCACGAACTCTGACCCATTATTTAGTAATACTCTCTAATCTTCTCACTCACCTAGCACAGGGCAGTGATCTCTGTAGAAAGAACCTCCCTTGGCATCCTGGACACATTTCAGATCAGACTAAGAAGAAAAGAAACCAGAAAAATCACCCATGAAACTTCAAATATGGCTCAATATCTGAAATAGGCAAAAATATTCATTTAGAACATACCCAAAACAGAAGTCAAGAATAGTCTAGGTCAACAATCACACTAAATACTGCTTTCAAAAGTACTTGTAAAAACTTGTAAAAACTAGAAACCTGATCTTCAGATAGGTCATATTTGATTTACTTTTAGCCTTCTTTTAAAGTTCAAAATTAAAATGTCTGAATCTGGCCAGGCACAGTGGCTCACGCCTGTAATCCTAGGACTTTGGGAGGCCGAGACGGGTGGATCACTTGAGGTCAGGAGTTCAAAACCAGCCTTGCCAACGTGGTGAAACCACTTCTCTATTAAAAATACAAAAAAATTAGCTGTGTGTGCTGCTGGGCACCTGTAATCCCAGATGCTCAAGCGACTGAGGCAGGAGAACTGCTTGAACCCGGGAGGCAGAGGTTGCAGTGAGCTGAGGTCACACCACTGCACTCCAGCCCGGGCAACAGAGCAAGAGACTCTGTCTCAAAAAATAAATAAACAAAATAAAATGTCTGAATCTTATTACATTAAACCAAAATACTTATAATTACTAAATATTAATTATAATATTTTGAAAACCACGTGCTAAAAAAGAACAAATATCTATTACTGGAAATGTGCACAGCACATTCTTTTTTGTGTGTGTGTGACCAGAGTCTTGATCTGTAGCCCAGGCTGGAGTACAGTGACTCACTGCAACCTCCGCCTCCTGGGTTCAAGCGATTCTCATGCCTCAGTCACCTGAGCAGCTGGGGATTACAGGCATGTACCACCGGGTCTGGCTAATTTTTGCATTTTTAGTAGAGACAGGGTTTCACCACGTTGGCCAGGCTGGTCTCAAACTCCTGGCTTCAACTAATCCACCCACCTCAGCCTCCCAAGTGCTGGGATTACTGGCATGAGCCACCACATTCCATTTTAAAGACACTTTTACCAAAAACAAACCAAAACCTGGAAATTATTCAAAACTAAATAGCCAATACAAAGTAGAAAATAACGAAACCAAATACAGTCTTTTGATTCCTTGTCTAGCTGATTTTCCTACTGACATCAATTCTTTTTTTTTTTTTTTAGATGGAGTCTCACTCTGTCACCCAGGCTGGAGTGCAGTGGCGCAATCTGGGCTCACTGCAACCTCCACCTCCTGGTTTCAAGCAATTCTCCTGCCTTGGCCTCCCCAGTAGCTGGAATTACAGGCATGTGCCACCACGTCCGGTTAATTTTTTCATTTTCAGTAGAGACGAGATTTCACCATGTTGGCCAGGTTGGTCTCGAACTCCTGACCTCAAGTGACCTGCCCGCCTCTGCCTCCCCAAGTGCTGGGATTACAAGTGTGAGCCACCACGCCCGGCCTTACATCAACTTCAGTCCTTACCTCGCCATAACCTGGTTAACTAAAGTTCCTTCCCACTTATCTTTTACAAGAAAACAAGTTACTAAGTATCTGAATGGAGGAGGTAGCTGCGGTATAATTAAAAGTACAGAAAATGTGGGCTTAGAGGAAGAACCTTGTGTATACTGTGAAAATGTGGATTTGGATTTACTTAAAAGTACCTAATAGTACAGGTGTATATAGTAGATGATTAGAACATCTTACCCTATCAAGGAAAGGAGCTCCTCTAATACATATGCACGTGCGCACCTGCACGCATGCACATGCATGTGCACACACACGCACACACACACACAGGACCCAACTCTTTTATAGCATCTTTTACTGTCACTGAATCCTGGCCAAAGAGACATAGGAGTCAAACTGTTTTTTTGGGATTTTTTTTTTTTTTTTTTTGAGACAGGGTCTCTCTCTGTTGCCCAGGCTGGGGTGCAGTGGCATGATCACGGCTCACTGCAGCCTCCACCTCCCAGGGCTCAAGTGATCATTCCACCTCAGCCTCTCAAGTAGCTGGGACTATAGGTGCACACCACTATACCCAGCTAATTTTTTTATTGTTTGTAGAGACACGGTTTTGCCACATTGTCCAGGTTGGTCTCAAACTCCTGGACTCAAGTGATCTACTGGCTTTAGCCTCCCACGGTGCTGGGATTACAGGTGTGGGCCACCACTCCCGGCTGTCAAATTGTTTTAATACTTTACCCCAGCAATTTTACTTCTGGGAATCTATCCTAAGGAAATATACCCATAATGTACAAAGGCATATACACAAGGATGCTTACTGACACACTGCTTGAAGCAGTAGGGGAAACAAAATCCAACTCAGATGCCCATCAAGAGAAATCTCATTAAATAAATAATGGCACAACCACATACTCGGCCATCAGTCTACATAAATACCATTCATTTAACTACCTGAGCACATATAGCACATAGGCTTCATTTGAAGAAAATTAATAATCAATTGGAATTCTAAAAAACTGACAATTTAAAGACAGGCAGAGGCATGAAGAAAATGAAAAGCTGATAACCACTGCTATATACAATAATAAAAATTGGCAACTAAAGTATTTGTTTAAATTCACATGGCTGGCTTTTAATATATAAGTGGAATGAATTGGTCAGGTGTAGTGGCTCATGCTAGTAGTCTCAGCATTTTGGAAAGCCAAGGTGGGGGATCACTTGGAACAGAGGAGTTCAAAACCGGTGTGGACAATATATATAGCAAGAGCCTATTTCTACTAAAATTTTTTTTAATATTAGTTGGGCATGGTGGCACACGCCTACAGTCCTAGCTACTCCAGAGGCTGAGGTGGGAGGCTTGTTTGAGCCCAGGAGTTCAAGACTTCAATGAACTATGATTGCACCACTACATTCCCACCTGAGTGACAGAGCAAGACCCTGTCTCTAAAAGTAAATAAATAAGGCCAAGCCTGGTGGCTCACACCTGTAATCTCAGCACTTTGGGAGGCTGAGGGGGGCGGATCATGAGGTCAGGAGATTGAGACCATCCTGGGTAACACAGTGAAACCCCATCTCTACTAAAAATGCAAAAAATTAGCAGGGCATGGTGGTGGGCACCTGTAGTCCCAGCTACTTGGGAGGCTGAGGCAGGAGAATGGTGTGAACCCAGAAGGCAGAGCTTGCAGTGAGCCAAGATCATGCCACTGCACTCCAGCCTGGGCAACAGAGTAAGACTCTGTCTCAAAAAATAAATAAATAAATGGAAATAAATTAAGGGGACACTGGGATACTGTCTCCATTCCTAACAAGAACACAGCCAGTTGATTTTAAAAAAGGAAATTTAAAGAATTCTTTGAATACAGAATGTATTCAAGATGAAAAGGATGTGAAAGGCATTAATATTTTGGCATTTATTTATTACACTCTATAAACGGAATAGCAAGATCAACTTTTTTTGAGATACAGTCTCACTCCGTCACCTAGGCTGGAGTACAATGGCGTGATCTCGGCTCACTGCAAGCTCTGCACCCCTACCCTCGCAGTTCAGGCGATTCTCGTGCCTCAGCCTCCCGAGCAGCTGGAATTACAGGCACATGGCATCAAACCCAGCTAATTTTTGTATTTCAGTAAAGACAGTGTTTCACCATGTTGACCAGTGTGATCTCAAACTCCTGACTTCAACTGATCCACCTGCCTGGGCTTCCCAAAGTGCTGGGATTACAGGCATGAGCCACAGCGTCCAGCAAGATCAGCGCTTGAACAATGGTCCATGAAAAATACAAAAACACAGGACAACTCATTGAATAAACCTCCATTATCTTTCTAAACACTTAAGTAATTCAAGGTGTTTCTAAGTCAATCATTTTCAATTATCAACACTATACTTTAAAAAATACCAAGGGGCGGGAAGGAATCTCCTAAAAAATAATTTTAATATCTGTTGTAATTTATATTTTTATAAACTACCAGAGCACAGAATACAAATATATCACAAAATCTCATTATAATACTGTCTTCCAGGTCCATCCATGCCAAGGAGTGGTCTTACAGATGATTTCCAATCTTTTTGACAGATTTTCGTAAATAAACCCCCTGGACTTACACTGAAAATGGGTCAGCTCTACACAACCAATATACAGTAAGGTACCCAAACATTAACTAAAGGCAAATCATATTGACTATTAAATAGTTTAGAGAAACATAGTAAAAACGTAAAGGTTCTGACAAAGGGAGATAACAAAGGAAAAATAATAAAAGAGCAGTAAGAGCTATTCATCCATCCAACATTTTCTTTCACCTGCTATGGCTCTTCACTACTTACCATGCCCTCAAAGCCAACTCTGTAAAGGTTCTTAGCACCATTATCCCAGAGGACATATGCTGCACTATGTGGGCTTGATGCACTCCAGTCCTGGATTTCTGTTACCTAACAGACATTTTTTGAGAAAAGAAGTTTTTTAAAGGGGAGGGAAGAGCTTAGTTCTTTTCATTATTACATGTAAATCTTAAAAATATTTCATCTAGCAACCTGTGGAACAGGATCATGAAAAATACTTATTTGCCAAATATGTCACTCCTAACATATATTTAAATTATCACTAGAGCCATATTTTTCCAGAATTATAAGGTAATTTCTAAAACCACTGTAGAAATGTTAAATCAAGAGGCTTGGGGATTACAGTGATTGATTATTAGAAAATAGAATTTGATACAAAATTTAAAATATTTTTAATCTTAAAGAGATTCCTTTAAGAACAGTTTTGTTTTTTGTTTGTTTGTTTGTTTTTGAGATGGAATCTCGCTCTTGTCGCCCAGGCTGGAGTGCAGTGGTGTGATCTCGGCTCACTGCAACCTCCGCCTCTCGGGTTCAAGCTTCTCCTGCGTCAGCCTCCTGAGTAGCTGAGATTACAGGTGACTGCCACCATGCCTGGCTAATTTTTGTACTTTTAGTAGAGATGGAGTTTCACCATGTTAGCCAGGCTAGTCTCAAACTCCTGACCTCAGGTGATCTGCCCGCCTTGGCCTCCCAAAGTGCTGGGATTACAGGTGTGAGCCACCACGCCCGGCCAAAACAGTATATTATTTTAAGCCCATTACTCAATATGAAATTTTAAATCCCCAAAATGATTCAAGATAAACCTTTTTGGTCAGTTAAAAATTAACAAGCACAAAGCTCTTGAAGAGCCTTGGTGGCAATGTTTAAGTAGGTCTTGAGTTGCTTTTGCTCCTCCAGCAGTATCCCACAGTTGCAGGCCACCTAAAATGGCACGCCTACCATGGAAATTCAGACACTATCTCCAAGCCCCACACCCAACTAGTCTGATTCTTGAATTCACTGGATTAAAATTAAAAAAAAAAAAATACTGGGGTTGCCATTGCTTTAAGGCCTAGAATCACACGCAGGTTGAGTGTACTTATCTGAAATACTTAGGACAAGAAATGTTTTAGATTTCAAATTTTTTCAGATTTTGAAATATCTGCACTGTACTCAGAGCATCCCAAATCCAAAAATTTGAAATTCTAAATGCTCCAATGAGCATCTCCTTTGAACATCATGTCAGTGCTCAAAAAGTTTCAGATTTTGGAGTATTACGGGTTTCAGATTTTTTTATCTGGAATGTTCAACCTGTACACAAAAATGACAAACAGTATTAAACTTGGACCTTCTCAAGTAAACCTGACTACAGCAAAGAGTGGGAAGCTGTACACATGCAATTCATATTACTCTTCTCCATCTTGATACTTACAATCACAGCCATCCTTCATAGTTACTTAGAATGACAGGCTGAAGTATAACTTTTAAGGTATACACTTAAAAACTATTACTTTAAATAAGATATATAATGACCATTCTTTTTCATCCTGTACTAAAGAAACAGTTTTGTAAGCCAGGTATTTCATGATGTATTTGTGGAAATAAAAAGGTTTTATGTTTAAGATCTGATGAATCACTTGAAACGTATTTTAAATTGTTAGTATATTAGTCCATTTATTCTTTTAAATTTTGACATACATTACACATTATAAAATATAGCATATGTAAATTTGTTTTTTTTTTTTTTTGCTCGTCACCCAGGCTGGAGTGCAATGGCACGATCTCAGCTCACTGCAACCTCCGCCTCTGAGGTTCAAGTGATTCTCCTGCCTCAGCCTCCCAAGTAGCTGGGATTACAGGTGCCCACCACCACGCCCAGCTAATTTTTGTATGTTTTTTTAAGTAGAGACGGGGTTTCGCCATGTTGGCCAGGCTGGTCTCGTGATCATGGCCTCGTGATCCACCTGCCTCAGCCTCCCAAAGCATATATAAACTTTAAAGAAAAAAATAAACGGAACACCCATGTAATTATTACCCAACCTAAGAAAAAAAATATAACCAATACTTTTCAAGTCCCCTATGTCCATCTCATCAATCCCATACTCCTGCCTCCCATTAGAGGTAACTACCATCCTGAAGTTAAAGTCCACCATTTACCTTAATTTGCTTTATGATTTCTGCTCTACTAACCACTATATAACCTTCCAAAGTAACAGTTTCTAGCACTCGAAGGTAAAACATGCAATCTGTAGTAAAAAGTTCCTTCTGATTCTAATATATTCAGATTTAACTTCATTTGTTTTCAAAAATGTGATGCTATATTAAGTCTGTATTTCATAGGATGAGTAAAAAGCATTTAACTACCTAAAAAACAAAGACAAATTTTGTTTAAATAAAATTTACTTTAAATTTCAAATTACTTGAAATAGAAGTAAGTTCATTAGTCAAGGTCCAAATCATTAAACGAAATTCCTTCATTTTTAATATGACTTGATTTATTACTGAGGGGGAAACAAAGTGGAAGGCATAAGAAAGTAACTATAGTAATTTCACATGCAAGGAACAGTTGCTAAAACCACTAGGTAGAATGTTGCCAAGAAACTCTGTAAAGGATACATCTGACAAAATTTGCACCTGTTCATCAATCTTAACATCACTAATAGCAAGATCATCAGACTTCATGTGCCCCTTTATGTGATACAGTAGAAAATATACAGCATCACATACGAGGTATGTTTGCCAAAATAAAATTGAACCTGAATCTAATCAAGCCTCTAGCTCTAACAACTAGTTTATAGGAAATACAAAGATTAAAAGAACAAGTTAAAGAAGTTAAAGAATACTATAAAGAATCAATTGGCCAAATAGAATCTGGTTTCTTCAACAAATAAATGGTATTTTTTTAAAGTTAATAATTGTTGAAGTTGGGTATGAGTGCATGGAATTTATTATACTATACTTTCTACTCAAGTGTATGTCTGAAATACTCCATAATAAAGAGTTAAAAAAAAATTATGATCTAGTATACTTAATCATACTTGTATAAAAAACAGCTTTAAAAGACTAACATGTATAGCAAGACTTAAGAAACCCTTTAAGAACAGGCTGGGCACAGTGGTTCATGCCTGTAATCCCAGCACTTTGGGAAGTGGAGGCAGGAGAATCGCTTGAACACAGGAGTTTGAGACCAGACTGGGCAACACAGCAAGACTCCATCTCTAATATACATTAAAAAAACAAAAAGGAAGAATACACTACATACAATGAATATGGGTTACATCAGGGGAGGGGGATAAAGCATCCAGCACTGAAGGGGAAAAAGGGATGTTAACTTTCTTCATTCACATACATAGGCCAAAACAAAAAAGTCAGACAATAGAAGTCACATTTGGTCTTAAAAATGTGCTTAATAATGTTACTCTAAAGATTTATTTTATGAAGTTCTCTCACTTGGAGTCACATGTACAAGACGGTTTCATTTCTTTTTCATTTTGTTCTTTTCGTTTGTTTTGAGATGGAGTCTTACCCTGTCACCCAGGCTGGAGTGCAGTGGCACAATCTTGGCTCATTGCTACCTCTGCCTCCCAGGTTCAAGCGATTTTCCTGCCTCAGCCTCCCTAGTAGCTGGGACTACAGGCGTGTACCACCATGCCTGGCTAATTTTTGTATTTTCAGTGGAGACAGGGTCTCACCATGTTGGCCAGGCTAGTCTCAAACTCCTGATCTCAAGTGATCCACCTGCCTCAGCCTCCCACAAGTGCTGGGATTACAGACATGAGCCACCATGCCTGGCCCTCATTTTGTTCTCAAAACACAACATGTGTTAAATCAAAGCAAACCAAAAATGTAACACGAATGACTCAAAGCCTCAAGAATGCCTACTTTTATCCCAAAAAAAGTGCCAATATAGCAAAAAACAGAAAGTTCCATTTATGTGGCTTCGAACAGCAAATGCCTTCAAAAGCTGATGAGGAAAGATGACTTCCAACCCCCTCTGACCACATAATTAACTATGGGGAAGACTACAAAGTCAATTTTTCAAAATAAAAGTATTAAAATGTTACTTCTCACATACTCTTTCAAAACAAGTTACCAGAATGTGTGTTCTACCAAAAGAGATGGTAAGCTAAGTAAGATGATATAATGGGATACAGAAAACATGAGATCCAGTCAGGAAGAGAGGCAAAGGCATCTTTGTTCATCACAGGGCTTCAAAGGGAGCTTCCAGGATGATTGCTGGGCACCAGGTATAGAAAGTGACCCGTCCAGATTGCAGCCGTGTAATACGTGGGGGCCAAACAAGTTGAAGGCTCTTATCCCTACTGCCACTGTACCATTTTTATTCAACTGTGGACACACTGCCCAAGTGAACCTGACTCACAGTCTCAAGTGTACTTGGCTTATTTGGACTATGTAATGATGACATTCCCACTCTCCTCTTCACCGCCATTCCCTGCCACCTAGACCAGCTGAGGTCTCTCATTTCACCACACAGAATATTCTGCTTTGACCTACTCCTAAAACTCTGAGCCCACTACACTATCTGCAAAGGGTAACAGAGGTAGGCGGGCTAGATAACAGCGTAATTGTCCACTGTCCCTCAGAAAAAGACCTTTGAGGGAAGATAATATAAAACAAGTCAATTCAAATGAAATTTGAATAGCAGGAAAGTCGAGGACATGAGACACTGCTTAGGGAAGACTGGTCCAAATGCATTCAGAAAAGCATGCTAGGTAACAAAATGACAATATGAAACCTGAAGGTGGGAAGGTAAAACCTATCTAATGACCCTCTAAGAAACATCAATGCTTATAAAAAGCAAGAACAATCTTTCTACTTCCAGAGAAAAAAGAAATCAAGATTTTAAAAATTTTTACTGGCATAGAAAACAATGGACCAAGAAATTCATTTACAGTAGTGATAAAAAGCTTCTGAACACATATACTCTAGAATACATGATGAATTAAGAAAAATACTGTACCTTTCCCCTACGTCCATTTCCTCCATCTTGATCTTCCCACTGCCAGTCCACTCCTCGCACCACTCTGGCACCTGCAAAGATTCCTCTGGCTGTAATCTTCTTAGATTTCCTACGAGACTCTAACAGAACCCTAAAAATAAAGTTATTTATTTTCAAGTTTATGTAAAAATAGGTAATAATAATCTACTTTTTAAAACAAAATTATAAAAATGTTATTTTGAAAGTAAAAGGATTCTTAATTGTTCTGGTTACTTCCATAACAGCATGACACAGGAATACCTTTTATATTCCACAAGTGATGATGACGATGGCAGTAGTAGTCGTAATAATAATCACAGCTAACTTTTACTGAGCTTTTATTATATAATATGTAAAAGCACTTGCATAGGAGTAAAGTGTGTTACACTCCTTAAGAGAAAGTTACCACTGTATTACCCACTTTATAAATGAGGAAACTCAGTCTCAAAGAAGTAATGTGCCCAAGGCCACAAAAGTTCAAATGTAATAGACTCCACATATGATCATAGTCTAAGCAGTTCAGGGTATCTATCACTATACTCTTCACTACTGTAGAGGTGGCAAACTCAAATTCTCTATAGCTTCCAGGTGAGTAATATAAATGACAGCCTAAGAAAGACAGCACTACAGTGGCAAATGGCACTTGACCTCAGACTTAGGAAGGTAACAGGGAATGGCAAGGACTTTGGTTGACTCAAAAGCATCATCAGTCTAAAGGATCCAGTCTAAAGGGCTCCACTGCTTCAACAAACTGTTGCCAGGAACAAACGTAAGCCCAGTATTGATAGTCTTCTGTATGAGGGGGGAGGGGAGCAGGGTGTTCTATGAATCCATCAACAGATTTTTGTGTGAAATCACCTGTTTTTTAAAACTAGCCATTATTCTGGCCAGGCGTGCTGGCTCACGTCTGTAATCCCAACACTTTGGGAGGCCGAGGCGGGTGGATCACGAGGTCAGGAAATCAAGACCATCCTGGCTAACACAGTGAAACCACATCTCTACTAAAAATACAAAAAATTAGCTGGGCATGGTGGCGGGCGCCTGTAGTACCAGCTACTTGGGAGGCTGAGGCAGGAGAATGATGTGAACCTGGGAGGCGGAGCTTGCAGTGAGCCGAGATTACATCACTGCACTCCAGCCTAGGCGACAGAGCAAGACTCCATCTCAAAAAAAAAAAAAAAACAAAAACTAGCCATTATTCAAAAATTTAGAGTAGTGTATTGATATTATTT